CACGCAAAGTCGTATAAGCTACACTAACATAAAATAATCAGATTTCTGTAATATTTGTTAAGTACACGGTGGATTCACCGTGTGTGTAGTAGGTTCCGATATATACAGTAATCAAATTGACACAAATAGTTTTATGGCATCGTACACTGTAACTCGCCAGTAAAGTTTAAAAGAGGTTCTGCTTGTCGCAGAAGCTGTAATAACCTTGACTGACTCATCTTATTGAAAACGAAACATATACTTATTATCAGTAATTAACGTTTACAAGGCACTGTATAATTAGTTTGTGGTAAATATAAAGATCTGATAGAGAAACATCTTCCACATATTAAACATGTCCATAAAAACGATATGTTAATGGTAAATTGATCAAACTCCCCAAATCCTCTTGTTATACATGCAGTTGCAACCTCCAAAAGGAAAGTCATTTTGCTTCGAGATCCGATTCTCCTCTCTTACCGAATAGCGGTATCTGCACGGAACCATTAACAAACTATAGGATGCAAACTGTCCTCAGTATTAAACTATGTGTCATTGGCGGGAGGTACGTTAGTACGATTGGTAGAGTGTTCGCTCGGTAATATGGTCCAACCCGTGGGTGCCCCTTCACGTTATCTACCGAACTATCTAGACTAATATAGTTATGAACTCTCAAGTGAAAGAATCGTCATTCCGCTGGCATATTACAATATTATACCTGACAGCCTGCACATCAGCACAGTTAAAAAGTCCCCAAAAGTACCAAAATAACGTATTATAGGATATTTCCTTATAACTACACATTAAGCAGGTTTGGGGTATAACAATGTATGTTTATGGATTCAATCGAACCCATTAGGCTACCCCAACGCGACAACCAGTGTGGAATGAAACGTTGGCCTTTACGCAAACATGTAGTATTATCTGGAGATGTGCTTGTCTATATCTCAATAGTAACGTCTTACATTGCATTTGGATGACAATGAGCAAGCACGACAGTTCCACACGGGAACATTTTACTTAAATATCGCAGTTCTGCTTTGTTGCGGGCCTACCAAAGCAATGTAGTTCTCGATTGTGGGTGAATGAGATTAGTTTTATGTCGCTTTTAGCAATTTTCCAGCAATATCACGACATGGCACACCAGAAATGGGCTTCACACATTGTGCCCATGTCTAGAATCAAACCCGGGTCTTCGGCGTGACGAGCGAACGGATTAACCACTAAGCTATCCCATCGCCCCTACACTTACCCAGCCTTGATTTTTAGTCATTGTATTACAGAGCAGATAGGGTATGAAAGCCCTGGATTGAGGTTACTCAATAAACACATATTTATGTGCTTAGGTTTACATCTTCGTTGTTTTGACATATCAGCGCCTATAGCTGTTAGAAGCAGTAAGGTAGAACCAGTCGAAGAACCAGGTTCGGTTCCCACATGGTTACAATGAGTGAAGCCCATTCCCGGGGCCCCCTGCCGTAATAATGCTGGAATATTGCTACAAGCGGAGTACAACCCAACTCTGACTGGCACACACCTTTCAAAAGTCAAATATAATATTGACTCCCCAGTAAAACGAAATCGGTGCATTCTCAATCGCCGCATGTCAAAATAGCCAAGAAAGGAATTTTCTTGCTCTTAGCATTAACATTTTATAGATTTTAGATTTATAGAAAATTAATATATAAAAACCCAACGTCAGACAATAATCAGTCTCAATTAACTGCCAAATATTTTTTCCATGAGGCATGACAGGCAAAATAGTATGCGCGTGGATCACTGATGGTACCTGTAGACATACAGATACAGATTCTACAAAAGCATAGACATGTTTCATATTATAGTATAAGAAATGCTCTGCCATCTCATTTTGTATTTCATCCTGGTGATAAAAACCATTTTATATATTGGCTTGGCTCTGCCAGTGTCACTGATGAACTGCCGAACATACACATTTAACACGAAAAAGTCTAAACAAAGACACCAATCTCCAAATTCAACAAACATCTCACATCTATGGGTCTGCCGTTTTCCATGGGATTCCTTACAGCTCTCATTCTGACTTGCAGTGTCTACCACCATCTTATCCCATACTTCATTAATCATCTACTTTACCACCATTCCCACAGGGGATAACATCGCTTTATAGATAGTCAAAAATAATAGTGATCGATAGCACCAGGCTTAGAGATTTACCCAAAGCTTGGAATGTTCCTCTTGAGCAGGCCAGAGAGATATGGACCAATGTGAGCATCACATGAAGAATACTCTTTGAGATCCGAATACACTGCATACATTATGGCTATTGTATATTGAGTCATATACCACTTCATGAAGATGGATATACGCTTGGGATGGTATCTTTGATGTTTGAGGCCTTGTCAAATATAAGATTAATTAAATTGTATTTGCTACATAAAATATTGAAATACATCTATTGTATGCTCTGATATGATATGATCGTAAAGGGGTGTTTGATCGGGAGGGTGATCCAAGGGCTAAGGACAGAGTTGTGGGTAACCTACCCTAGCCCTAACATAACTAACCCTAATGATAGTAAGGGGTTGTTTGATCGGAAAGGGGATCCAAGGGCTAAGGATACAGTATCTGGGTAACCTACCCTAGCTAACCTTAGGACCGTAAAGGGGTGTTTGATGGGATAAAGGATACAGTTCTGGGTAACCTACCCTAGCCCTAACATAACTAACCCTAATGATAGTAAGGGGTTGTTTGATCGGAAAGGGGATCCAAGGGCTAAGGATACAGTATCTGGGTAACCTACCCTAGCCCTAACATAACTAACCTTAGGACCGTAAAGGGGTGTTTGATCAGAAAGGGGATCCAAAGGCTAAGGATACAGTATCTGGGTAACCTACCCTAGCCCTAACATAACTAACCCTAAGGATCGTAAAGAGGTGCTTGATCGGAAAGGTGATACAAGGGCTAAGGACAGAGGTGTGGGTAACCTACCCTAGCCCTAACATAACTAACCCTAAGGATCGTAAAGGGGATCCAAGGGCTAAGCATGGAAAAGGTGATGCTTTATTGTAAAGGGCATATTTGATTGTAAAGGGGATGTTTGATCAGCAAGTGGTGCCCAACCCTGAGGATCAAAGGGGCATGCATGACTGATGACCTGAGAGCCCAAAGCTGGAGTCAGCTGGTAAATACAAGCCGCACCCAGCTGACGGCACAGTTGCCCATATATACACTGTAAAAACAAGTGTTATTGAATTAACACTATTATTAACACTATCTTGGTAACAGTAAATTAACATGTTAAAGTGTTAATACTGTTTAACACTAGTGTTAATTTAATAACATGTTAAAGTGTTTACAAGATTAACACATTAACATGTTTATTTGATAACGCTTGCTGGTAACACTTTTTTCACACATTAACATGTTTATAAGGATGTAAGTGTTAATAATTTAACACATTTGTAAAGTAACAAAGAAATGTGATCCACAAATTACTTCGTTGAGAAAGTTGGGCTGAAATGTATATCCAAGTATTAACTTTCATCAATGGTTAACTCTGAACTTGATTAATCTCCTTGATATTACACTGAATGTGATAATTTCCCAAATAAAAAAAGACATGGTGACAAAAGATTTATCTTCACATTCATTATGGTGTAATCAATATGAAAGCAAAAAGGACTTAGTACAGTTTCAGGGTTCGATATAATACAACTAATAGTAATCAACCAAATAAATTAGAGCAGCAAAGACAATTTCAATTGAATTTATTCATCAGATAAAAAATCAAATCCTCATCAAAATTGAGCAAACTGTTACATTCAATGCACATTGGCAGATATGAGGAGTCCACAGAATCCTTCACAATACTGCATATTTATTTAGGGAACAAGCAAAAATAACTCGGTAATACTGTTAATCCCGGTACTTGAGTCTTAAGACACAGAATGGTGAACGTTTGACAGAATTTTAACAGAACATCTTATGCATTAAACAGGTATAAAAGTAAACAATAGAAGCAACATACCTCTACATTCAAATAATATCACTAAATTAATGGTCCACTAATAATGGTTATCAAAATCACCTTGGTGAAGAAATAAAAAAAATGAGTACCAAACATATTTGTTGGCACAACAATAGGATAATCAGTACTTTGTCATAGGCAAGGTACTTCCCTGAATTATCAGGTATGGTCTAAGGTAGGCAAAGCAATGAAGCGTGCTATTCCTTAGACAATGAGGGATTATGGGGGACATCTCCTAATCTTAGGTGAGCGAAATTCAGAAATTCCTAAAGTGAGCGAGAGTTCAAATCGGACAATTGTAATCTTGTCTTGAGAGAACCAAAGTTTACTTTTTGATTGCAGGGTAATATAATGGATTAAACTTAAAACAACTCCCTATGGGGTATATATAAGATCATTACATATTTGAACACCATGTCACAATGGCACAATGTTCAAGATAATGTTTATTGAGAACAGACGAGGTGGTCGAAATTTAGTTCAATTTGGCACAATAAATGAAATTCAATTCTTTTGAACAGGAAGAACATTTCTGTTTGGCTTAACAGAATGAACAATAGGTACTATGAATGGTCTTTGAACATTTTTGGCTTTCATAATTCGTATAATAATCTTCTCTTTAGAATATCAGCAGTTTGAATAAATTTGAAATTGACAATATCATTGTAATGAAAACTAAAGGAAGAATCAGTCTGTTTCCTTTTTACAAAGGTCTTCTTGGGATGTTCCATGGTATAACTGATATTTGTTTTGTTTTAACATATTATTAGAGAAATATCATGCGACTGGATAAAGAAATGGTATACATTGCCGCATTACTACCGACAAGATTTTTTGAAAGTTCAAAGCTTGATTGGGAAACATTCTAAAATCTCAGTGTTTATCTTTGGATCTTGTCAGTTCATCACTGAACTTTACCCAATTGGATGTCCTTGATCCAGTAAATATGTCAGATACAACCCAGTGCTGTAGCAGACCAAGATCCTGGCAATATGCAGGGGGGTACTCAAAATCAAAAAACATAGTAACTCCCAAGGAGACTGATCACTGCATCAAACAATGACTGTGTTTGAAGAATAATCTTTACATTGTCTCCTACAATGAATTGGCATAGGATGTGTTTTGAGCTGTCAAGGAAGACCACAAGATGAGGAGCCTCTTCCACTTGGCTGTGCAGATGTTTCCGAGGAACTGTTTCCACACTCTTCACATCCTGTTAACATAAAATAACATTTTTGTTAGGGCTGAATATTGTCAGTTTACAAGTTGATCTCACAACAGTATTAAGTAAATGAAACATCTATTCATAACTATACTGCTATTTGTAAATATAAAATATTTTAAATATATCTTTATCATAAAGGTATCACCTGTCCTTGCAGTCTACTGCATTTCCATTTGTCACAAAGCTGATCACAAGCACTTACTTCAGGAATGAAGTAAACCAGTTTTCAAGTGTAACAATACTTACAGTAGTACATCATTTTCAAACAATCTTACATTGACTATGGTAATGCAGGTCTTTGACTTCAAACCCTTGCCCTTTTGCTTGGAAACAAGCTTCTCAAAATCCCGGAACAGTTGGATGCTTTTTTGAGCATCAGTACCCTGAAAATTTGAAACAATAATTATTAAAATAAAAATTTCCAATTACATGTTAACCCAGTTTGAAACAATAACCATATCAAATCAATATTAATTAACATATTAAGGTATCACAGAGGGTTAGTGAAATTAGTTAAGTATTTTGATAGTTCACCATATCTAATTCGAAACAAATTAAATTATGATATTAAATAATATAAGCCATATGACAAGCAACTTGTAACAAGAAATTGAAATGAAATATACATCTTGACTTTTCTGGAGCCAATAATACATGCCTCAGGTGCAGTTTTCTTAGATGCGACAGTCTGCATTATCCATTCCATATTTCTGGCAATTTCTTCCCTCGCTTCCTCTGGATCATCACTGCGTTGGCCAAAGAATTCATACACCAACTGAAACAGTATGTTAGAATGTATTTAATGATTAAGAGGCACAAAGACAAGCAACAGGGCTTGCCTGCTTGTTCAATATAAGATTAACACTAGCACAACAATGACCATAAATCAACTAATGTGATAACACTGTACAAGTACTTTTGTATACCTGTAACGTCCGTATATAATAAATAGGGTTTAAGGACACATGAAGATTTCCAAGGAAGCACTTTAGGGAAACTTAATTTGAAACAAACATTTGCTGTTTAATAAGCTCAAATGATTTATACTTACAAAGCATCCTTCCTCAAAACAAGGGAACTTTTCTAAAATGGGCTCAATCTTCCCGGTCTTCAAGGTGGTTTGCCACTCTTTGCGGAATTGTCTTGTCTGTTTTAGTAGGGTTCGCAGCTGAGTAATTGATTGCTTTCCTTCCCATTCCTTCTTTATTTCATCAAGATAGGATGCAAAATCTTTCTCTGATGTCACACCTGATGATTTATTAGCCATCTTGAACAACTTCTGAGGTTGTGCATCTTCAGAATCCTTAGGTGCAGGTCTCGTTTGCATTGTTTTGAAATCTATTGGTGCGCATCGCTGACTCAATTTGGACACAAAAAAAGCTCTGAAAAGACACAATAGGAGAGTTTGTTTTTAACCTTCGATTAGAAAGAAGGAGTGTGTTTCTTGGTTATAGCAAACAGATAATATTGACTTTACCTTTTTATGAATTCACAAATTGGGGGGTATTGAGTCTCATGCATTTATTTAAGAAAAGAACATTCAGACGAGTGTTTTTAAATCACAAGATCTTACTGAAATCTAACAGAAGAGTGCCTAATTCCAAATCATATGCAGTTCAACCAAAAACATTATCTGAAAATAATTACACTGTGATAAAACAAAAAGAATCACAGAATATCAAGTTCTGTAATACAAGAGCCATAAATAATGAAATTAGTAAAAGTCGAATACTTGGGATATGCGAACTATCAGTATGTATGCACCTTGACACTACATCACTGAATAAGAGATAAAAAACTGAAACCAACTCAAACTTACCCAAGGTGTCTTGCCATGTGCATAGGCAAATGAAGGATATTTTGCCACCATCCTCCTGCCGATTGATTGATAGTATGGTGAAGATGACATCGATGGATAAACAGTTGTGTGAAACGTTTCACTCGCTTCAATACAGAGTTAAAAATCTGGCTGCTCCTTTCACCTGCTTGAAGGGCTGCAATCGTAGTAGGTGCAAGATCAGGAAGGGGGATCCTGTCTGGTGTTGGCAGCGCAGACAGTAGACTGCGGCTTGAGAGATCTGCTGAAACAAAATGAAAGTATCATGTTAGTTAATGTGGAAGTAAGTGGGAACCTGAAGACCACATTTAGGTTAGGTCAGAACCATAATGGAAATGTAATGATGTTCGAATGTATTTATTTCTCTCATCTTATTGTTTGTAGATCATAATTCCAGAAAGTCAGACAGGTAAATTTCTCGGTTCCTGTCAAGAATATTGAATTACATTTTCCCAGTGAACAATATACCCGATTTAAATCTACAACGATACATAAAATATTAGAGTTGAAATAATCACCTGAAGTTCCAATGACCTGCAAATGTTCATGTCAGAAATAAGTGCACGTAAAGAATGTGGCAATAAAACAACAACTGGATGTGCTGAAAAAAGACTTAGAAAAATACTTAGTGACTTGATAACTTTAGCAAGACAGAAAAAAATTGTTAGTTTTAGCATCGATTCAGATGTTTTAGATAAACGTACACCACCCACTTGACTATGTGGTTGCCCAGTCTAGGTTATGAATCACTGTCTACACATGATGTTAGACTGCCACCATCAATACAACATGTAAACATTAATATGTGAACATTATCTTTGCAATATCATCAATGTAGGTACTATATGTTGGCATAGCGCTTACCTGGGGAGAATAATGACAACGTCAGCTTGTTCTGTCTTCTGAAAATGGCGAGGATCGTGCAGTGGAATGTGTAAACCCCGTAGATGACGGCACTTTTGGAAGATGACGGCACTGTTGCCGTAGAGTTACCTCCCTTGGTTCATTTGTCACAATGTCATGTTACACACAAACTTAATGTCCTGTCTGAATAAGTGATACCTATTTTTCATGGAAATAATGATATTAAATGAAATTAATATATCCCGTGTGTGGGTTACTACTTTTCCCTACCTTTTTAGCGAACTGGCACGCCACATTCTAAAAATAGCTTATTGCGCCATCAAAGCGTTTACGTCTTTAGGCTACGATCGCGCGAGTTGACAGACGATATTCGCATTGAAATCACTGCGTTTTGAAAATGCTGACATCCATTTGAAGATATCTAAAGAATGTCTAGTTATTATGTAATATGAGGCCGGTAGAGGTGCAGCGATTGCCTCGATCACCATTCATTGGCGCCAAAATGTATCGAGGCACGCTTGCGTTGACAGATTAACACTAATGTTAATAAAGAAGAGAGATATATTAACACTGGTGTAAATAAATGAACACTGATGTTAATAATATTACGTAAGTCGTACTTGTATGCAAATAATATTACGTGTATGTGTAAAACAAGGAGTACGACATCTTATTTCATTTAGCCCAATGTTATTTCAATTAGATTAGTTAGAGGGGCAATAACTTTAGACCAACTTTCCAGCTGTACAGCAAATTTAACCAAAATGTCTGAGGTAAGATTAGTTGAAACAGATTATTTTTTAATATTTCGAACACATTACCATATCTAATATGATACACATTTTCATTAACAACAAGATCTATCGTACTCATCGCTGTGCACTGACATTGTTTGAAGACGTACATAGGCTACCACACATTAACGCCTGTGTTATATGATTAACATCAAGGCGTTGGCAAATCAACACCTGAGGTTTCCGTATAAACGGAGATGTTAAATATTTAACATATTAACGCGTTAATGCCTAACACTATTTTTTACAGTGTATGGTATACTACAGGGCTAACAAAAAAACACGATTGGTACAGTCAAAGCAAGGTGTCCTACCTGACACAAGCTGCCATCTTGAGAGTATTCAGGGGCTGCCAAGAGTTGTGTCGGGGTGTTGTGTCAGCAGCTGCAGTGTCCCCTTGGTCAGGGTCTGCAGCATGGTTCAACACAATGAGCATGATGCGCACAACTAATTCTGAACCTATAATGATGACAGGTAAACCCCAATGGAGTTGTACAAACAGTGATGCTCTGATACCATGGAAACCCAAAACAATGATGCCATTTACCTGTATTTGGAAGTTTAGACATGAAGGTGTGATGTAAACGGGCATTTGACATTGCAAGATTGCATGATGATTTATGTACAAAACAGTTACCATGGTGATAATGCAAGAGTGACTACTATGAAGAGAATTACTTATTATAAAGATACATATTTACAAAACCGGAGGGGTTGAGGGGGGAATCCAGAGTGTGATGGGGGTCCGAGGATGTGCGACAGCTGTTGAGTTGTCCTGTTGAGCAGCAATGGAATAGAGACAAACAACCTGGTCAATGAAACGGGTACACTGTGATGGCAAGTCAGACACACAAATTGATTTGTAAATAATCATAGTGACACTGCATAGTACTAAGCATTAACATTCTGTAACAGAACTAGTTACCATGAACTATGCAGCATTTACTACTGAATAAACAGGCAAATTGTCAAAGGTGTGGAGGAAATATCTGATGAATGAGATGAATATGCACAAACTATACAATATGAAAAAGACAAACCTTAAGAAGTGCATCGAAAAGTGGTACATTCCAAATGTGTGTGCTACAGAGTCCACAGGTAGGCGACTCTCTGAGCAGCTGACAGTAAGGTCAAATGTGTGTGCCACAAAGTCCACAGGTAGGCGACTCTCTGAGCAGCTGACAGTAAGGTCAAATGTGTCTGCCACAAAGTCCACAGGTAGGCGACTCTCTGAGCAATTGACAGTAAGGTCAAATGTGCCATAATCTGTAATGAAACAGGGGGCAGATACAGCTGTTTGAGAAAGGGGGTTGCGCAGTTCAGAGCAGGGTGGGAATGCACGCACTGTTGCACCACCCCACCCCCTACAAAAAAATAAACACAAACAATAAAACCAACCCCACAAAAAATTAGAAATGAAATGAAATTCTTATACTTATACATACACTGCACTCAAGCCTTACAAAATGAGATTGTGATTGCATAATTCTGATTTCTTCAAGCAAAGAATTCTATAGTATAGACCATTCTTAGCCAATATGCATGACCTCGATGTCAAATCGAAAGCGAGGCTTAAATAGGTTGACCCAACCTTAAAAATGGCGACCTCAAAAAGGAAAGATTACTGCTGTGTGCCTTTGCGTTGGAGTGATGCCCGTAAGGATTTTACGGTATCTTTTCACCATATTCCCAAGAATAAGATCAGAAGAAGGCAGTGTTTGACGAAAATACGGAGAGATCCTGGAAAATTATTCATAGTAAGTACAAAATAATTACGGCACATGGCATAGTCTAGATCTGCCGTGTAATGTAATGTACAAACTGTTCACTATGCAAGGTTTTAATATTAGGGGCACATGTACAATGTGAATGTCACACACACACACACACACACACACACACACACACACACACACACACACACACACACACACACACACACACACACACACACACACACACACACACACACACACACATTGACATGTTCAAAATCAGTGATCACCCCCCTAGTTCATATGTACACAATTGGCCCCTCCCCCGCCTCCCAAAACAAACTGGGAGACACCCCAACCCCCACACCTAAAATCATCACCCCCCTAGTCATAAATTATGAACGGTCCGTTATATTAAAAACATTTAAGCATATGGACATACGGAGACACTTGTCATGATGGCAAGGGAATTTTATTTGCAAATATTCTGTATCAGTGAAATTAGATTGGCTGCAAATCAAAGTAACATTTCAAGTACATGCACATGCATATGCATATGAGTGATTGAAATAAATAGTTTCTAAATGATGATGTGGCGATTCGTTGTTCCTCTGCTATTGTAACATGTAGTTACGCGCACATCGCCATCACCAGTAGGTACAACTGGAAATAAGTGCGTGAATAAATACCCTAGCTATATCTATAAAACAGAGTCGATAGGACAAAACATTTTAAACAGAAAAAGTACCAAACAAATAATTTCATCACATGAGTAATACAATTTTGTTTGGTCCAGATCCACTCGAGGAGAGCTATCTTGATCTACATATTACTTATAATCTCGATTATCCAGCTCAAGAATTAACAACACTACTCCCATGTGGAAGTGGATGATTTGAACCCAGGTCAGGAAATACGTTGAGTCTTTTGCTCATATGTTGATAAAGTAAACGTAATTGACTTCCCTTGGTAATATTTCCACTATTGTGACTTTAGAGTAGCTTCCCTTCATAAATGCCGCGCATCATGGTAAACGTTAACCTAGATATCTAGGTCATATGACTTTTCGTGATGTGTCGTGAAGTACTGTAATTATTCACCCTTCAATCCGTGGGTATGCTACAGAAACATTTTTGTAGCCCCTTTCCCATTTCTCAGCGATTTCTCTGAACTACTGGACAGTTTCGTAATGTACCGTTCAAGAGAAATTTGAAACCAGGAAGTATACATTGAGATTTGTCGCCATTATGCGATTGTGTCCTTGCCCATTTTCAGCCTCGTTTTGGTACAGATATGAATATTCATGGGGCCTCATTAAGAATGGTCTATAAGTTCAATAGTTCTGAATATAATTCATTATAGCTTGTTCCCCTTGTAGCCCCACATATTGTGCACCAAAACTGTAATTTTTCAAGTATAGAAATTATCCCATATTCAACTACAATAATCAAATAATGGCAGAATAAAGGATTTATACAAAACGAAAAGTGTTTTACCTGATAATCTGTATTTGTAACTCCTTGAACATTTTAGCATAAGTCAAACTTTATCAAGCACAGAATTTATCTGTGCGGTCCAATTTGCATCTTTTTGAAACCAGAGGCCTAAATGTTTGTGCTTGAAATAATAAATATTTTTGCATAAATAATATCTAATAATCACTAATATGGCTAATTGAGCATTTCCTGAAATCCCCCAAGAGAGAATTCAAATAATACCATATCAATGTATCTCACTTTAACACAAATGTCACTAATGTCACCCAATGTGAGCATTTCCTCAAATACTCCAAAACATTGAAATAATACCATATCAATGTACATATATCTCACTTTAACACAACTTTCCCTAATCTCACTAATTGAACATTTTGTTCAAACAAACTATGGCTCATCTGGACGAAGTGTTATCAAAACACTAACCCTAGTCAGCCAAATGCCACTCTGGCTATGTGAGAGACCTGTTTTGACAGAATCTGGCTAAGTGAGAGGACACCGGGCTGTCACCATGGGAACACACAACCGAGGGAGTTGGTGTAACACATTTGTACAACAATATTGCAACTTGATAGTTAAGAGATGGGACGGAGTCGTGAAGTGAACAATGTTCTGAAAGAAAAGATACAAATATGATTTATTTCAAGTGCGCCTATTTGTTGAGGGATTGATTCTAACGGCAGAAAACGTTGCTCCTGTGACACGAGTTAACAGGGATACGCATAATCCAAACGAATCGCATTGTTTGAGGATGAAATACGGTAGTTAAAGTCAAACAACAACAACAACAACAAGACGGGGGAGTGGTCAGCGAGCGAAGCTAGACAATTTGTGCACATGCAATATTATACAAGGGGAATGCAGTCCGCTCCCATGGGCACCACGACACCAGCACACGCGCCTGCGATCGGCCAAGACGGATGACACTGTGCACAAAGGCCTGCAAAGACCAAGGGAGAGCTTGTTTGCTTCCCATCTGTCAGTGTCAGCGTGAGACAGAATGCGAGTGATCTACGAACGGTAAGCAAGGAATATGGGCTTACACAAAGATATGAATGAAGTTACCTTGAGGTGCACTTGCATAGGTGTGTGTTGCCAGCGATGTTGTTGCCAGCTGGAAAGCGCGTGTGCCGCCATGTCCAGCCGATGGATGTAAACTAGATTTTTGTTGTTGTTTTTTTCACATGTTTTTATTGGCTCCTTTTAATTCAGTTGAAAAGTGTACATATATTTGCATAGTGTTTCTATACACTACATTGATTCAGTCAAAAAAAGCTTCAAAGTGAGACTAGAAGTTGTTGGTAATGGTTGATGATTCTATATGTTCGTACAAAACGAACAGACATCATCATGAACAATTTTCATCTACAGCAACTGACGTCTGGTGTAAATTTTCAAAACATAACATCTTTAGTACATTTTATAAATTTTAGTGAATATAGATTATTCAACAAGTGATGATTCGCTCCTTTGTTGCTTAACAGATAGCATGGTGGTTAAAGCGTTTGCTCATCACGCTGAACACCCGGGTTCGAATCCCTACATGGGTACACTGTGTGAAGCCCATCTCTGGTGCTCCGCTCCGCTCCCCTCCCCTCCCCTCCCCCACTCACTCACTCACTCACTCACTTACTGACTCACTCTGTATAAAGGCTGGTGTGGAACTTATGCAGTGTGGGTGATAAGACATCGCTTCATTTGGCCTTGGTGTACGTAACCAGACCTGTGCACTAAATATACAGACAATTTTATCGGACGTGAATGCAACACTGAAACACCTTCATTTCTACTTTGTAATAATGGTAGGTGAATAAAACTCATATCATATACGACTGGAAGGTTGTGGCCCTTTGCGCCTGGATAATGTTGTACAGTGTTGGACATCATACACACAGTTTCATTGCTACTGAAGCTCTCATAACAATGATGCATGTGAAAATAGAGGTGATGTCTTGCTCGGGTGTCCAGGGTGGGACCGGTGGAGATACACACCCTTACTACACTACCCAGAGTGGCAGGGGTGCATTTACATCATTTGTACACGGTGCAGTTCGCCTTAAAGTAATCAGGTAGCCACAGCTAGTGAATAGTGCCGGCACATTAACAGAAGTAGGATGCAGCAACATTAACAAACGCTGTTCAAAGTCTTACAACATTGTATCAATGGAGGGGAGGAATCAATCTCATATCGTACCGGTAGGAAGGCAGTGTGGCCGCTTGCTTCGGTATAATGTTGCACAATGTTGAATAACGTCGGACATGGTATCATAGCCACAACGGCCACACTTACACATATATTACTTCATGAAAAGTACGAACGATGTCTCTTACTGTCTTGAAACCCGACGAAATCTTGTTTCTCTGTGTGTGTGTGTGTGTGTGTGTGTGTGTGTGTGTGTGTGTGTGTGTGTGTGTGTGTGTGTGTGTGTGTGTGTGTGTGTGTGTGTGTGTGTGTTTGTTTGTTTGTTTGTTCCGTGTGTGCTGTCAACTGATTAACCAACTGTTGTGAAAGTGGACATGCCACTTAAATGTGCATGCCATACCAAGGCGGGACTATTTGGTGTTACAGACGAAGTATCCACACTAACATAACCTCCAAGCATGAACACAAAAAGTTATAATAATTTGAACAGAAAAAACAGATGCCAAGTAACAGCAAAGAGCACAATGAAGAGTGATTTCATGTAATTATAACTACCATTCCTTCTCAAAACAAAACCGCAGCAAACACGGGTCATTGAGACACTGAGCTGACCTCCCTCCCTCCCTCCCCTACCGACCGACCGATCGATCAATCAACCGATCAATCAATCAATCAATCAATCAATCAACCGATCAAACAATAATCAATCCAACACCGATCTAGAAGAGGTTTACTGGTGTTGTACATGGCCAAGATATGCAGTGAGGGGATAAAGCCACCGGGTGTTTCATATTGCTTTGGGTTTGACATCTTCTCTACATTTGGCCCAGGTGAACGTCACGAAACGTTTGTCGTCTCTGCCCTAAAGTGGCAGGCAAGCATAACCTTCCTATTACCCACTATACATGTTCAGACACATTTCATCGGATGTGAATGCAACACTGAAACACCTTATTTCCTACACTGTAGTAATGGTAGGAGAATAAAACCCATATCATATAGGCTTGGAAGGCTCACTGGCCCTTTGCCTCTGGATAATGTTGTACAGTGTTGGACCTGATAAACATAGTGTCATAGCTCCTGAATCAACAATAAAAATAGTGTTGGCCCGGTATCGCAAACATTATTGATTAACATGCATGCGTGCGTGCGTGCATGCGTGCGTGCAACTATGAAGGGTCCCTGAGGAAACATTAAAGAGAAGTGCTACAGCTATTCCACACTGCCTCTCCTTTCGACGATAAAACATTAATGAAACACTGTTGAAATTCTTTCAAACATTGTATGAACGGAGGGGTTGAATAAAGCTCCTATCTCACGGGTGGTAAGTCACAATGGCCGCTAGAGTCCGGATAATGTTGGACAACGTCGGACATGCTATGTACACTGTGTCACTATAACAAACAGCTACACAGGTACGAATGCTTTATTACTGTATATGAAGATGATTGGAAGTTATAAGCTGTGGCTGTACTTGTTGTTGGTCGGTAAGGCTCTCTCTCACTTGGTTGACATGTCATCGTGTCCCATTTACATACATTCATGCTCATGATGTTGATCGCTGCAATGTCTGGTGCTGGCTCCTATTTTGACAGACCGCCGCAATACAGCAAGAATATTGCTGAGTGTGGCGTTAAACAACAACAACCAAACCAAACCATCAACCACAGGTGTTTTACGGACTCTTTAAGTGATGGAAGCGGCAGACAAATCACTGAAAAGTGGCCGTTCGCTTGAATCATTTACCAGAGGCAAATACTGAATTAACTGGTGTGCAGCAACCAGGAGCTACTGTTAGCTACTGTAGGGGATGCAGCCACATTAGAAAACGCTGTTCAAAGTTCTACAGTTTCTACATTGTATTAATGGAGGGGTGGAATGAAGTTCATATCTCACGGGCAGGATGGCAGTATAGCTGCTTGGCTCCGGACAATGTTGCACAATGTTGGCCAACAGACAAACATACACGAATATTGTATTAATGGAGGGGTGGAATGAAGCTCATATATCACGGGCAGGATGGCAGTATAGCTGCTTGGCTCGGGACAATGTTGCACAATGATGGCCAACAGACAAACACACACGAATATTGTATTACATTTACATTAATATTATTACATTGATCGACAGCCGACAAAATTTGTTAGTTGCATGGATGGATGGATGGATGGATGGATGGTGGTTTTTATACACGTGTGCTGTGCTGTGCTGTGCTGTGCTGTGCTCTGTTCTGCTCTGCTGTGCTCTGCTGTGCTCTGCTCTGCTCTGCTCTGCTCTGTCTTACTGATTTACAAACAAACTGTTGTGAAAGTGGACATGCCACTTAAATGTGCATGTGATGGTGAGTAAAAGATGTTGTGAAAAAATATTTATTGTATGACGCTGAGGTGTAGGTACTTATATGTCGGGTTTCATGAACCACAACTGCACAACAGATTACCACAACTGCACAATAGATGGCGTGGCGTGGCGTGGCGTGGCGTGGCGTGGCGTGGCTGGGTGGCTCCTGTGCATGGATTCTTTGCTCGTGCTATCGACCACTGGTTTGCTTGACCTTGACTCTCTATGGAGTATCGACAAGCTTACATCATCTGATTATCAACACCTTTGGAGAGCAGTTGACGAATATCATCTACCCGAGGAATTCCTAATCTATTTTTTTCCTGTTTACATGTTTTGGGTACATGTTTAACATTTGTCGTTGAGCATGTAGGAGGCTGACGTGTATACACCATCATTCAACAACAGCAGTTAATATTGCTGCTTGTAAGAATTTCCTAACATCGTGTGGCTGTGCTGTGCTGTGCTGTGCTGTGCTGTGCTGTGCTGTGCTGTGCATATTTGTACTTTGGTGGGCTCGTTTAACGGATAAGGTGTGGTGAGCAGGTTCAACCAGTCAACATCTAATGGGGCTCCGCAGTTTGGAGAACGGCTTTTCCAGATATTTTCTGGCGCTTCAGTCACTTTGCTTGGCTGGTAGATCGCAAAACTGACTGAAGCGCCAGAAAATATCTGAAATAGAGCCGTTCTCGAAACTACGGCGCCAAAGTTTGAGACGGTGGCCTAGGTCATGTTCCAAATTGTGAGGGCAAACAAACAAGTGGTTTTCACAGTAAAGGAGATCATGGTACTGAAGGGACGGTGGGGTAGCATGGTGGCTAAAATAAATAAAACATATGACATTAATTGATCTAAATAAGCTCCAGTCCTTTGTCCATGGCTATGAAAACGTGCAAAAGCTGTCAGCTGTCTGATCTGTGTGCACAGACCTGCTAGAGAGTAATGAGCTGTGCATTCTACATTCAAGTTTATATTCCACAAAGTTATTCCCTACTAAATATGTAGGGTTTGGGGGATAATTTTTTAATGCATCATCAGTACAAATGAAAGCATGTAGGTTGTCATATTTCAAAACATATGCCATTATATTTACTTACCAAGTCATTGAGCTTTTCTACTTTTCCTATTTCTTCTGGCACTGAGACAAGCTTGCTGTTATTGGCAAGTAAAACCTCCAGGGTATGAAGATGACATGATGTCGGTGGCAAGACAGACAACTGGTTCCAACATGAAATAGAAAATTGATGAAAATCGGTGAATGGAAACATAAAAAGAAACCCATTCCATCTCACAACATCTCATTTGTTCCTATATTGCAGGAAAAACATATCTGGAATATAATCTTATAAACAAGTGTCACAATACCTTGCTCTATGTTCTCACAAGTTTCCTGTGTGTAATTACGGTTGGTGGCAACCTACCCTGGCCCTGATATAACTAACCCTAAGGATCGGAAAGGGGATCCAAGGGCTAAGGATACAGTTAGGGGTTACCTGCCCTGATATAACTAACCCTAAGGATCGGAAAGGGGTGTTGGATCGGAAAGGGGATCCAAGGGCTAAGGATACAGTTGGGGGTGACCTGCCCTGATATACCTTACCCTAAGGATCGGAAAGGGGTGTTGGATCGGAAAGGGGATACAGTTGAGGGATAACCTACCCCATGCCTTTGTATGGCATTAATGAGTAATACATATAAAAGGTGAAATTATGGATGTCAATTGCTTACTATGAGAAACACTACATATATTCTTACTGATTCATCGGGTGAATGATTACTATGAAGAAAAAACCCAAACAAAACCATGCCAACACCTCATCATGAAAGAGAGATAACCATTACAGAAGCTGACCAAGGCATGTAGTCATGAACTCCCCAGGTTTCCTCCAGCTCGTCAACCACACCCTCTCTGACACCACCACCACCTACCTCACCATCCAGAAATACCCCACTGCCAAACTAGGAACTCAACACAAGAATACCTAGACTTACAACTAGTCTCTGAAATGAACATAACAGAAAAAAGGCTCATAGTGAAAAAAATCAAAATATAATGAAAAGGCGCCCAGAGACGTTCTTCATTTTCAGAGACTAAACAAATCTGCAGAGAGATAATTTACAATGGTTGTTATCACCCACTACTGCTGAAATGTTTGTGACAGGAATATTTATTGCCCCCACCACCTCCCAGTCCTACTGTCAGTGGTGTGGGCAGTTTTTGGGTAATGAGTGTCGCCAAATCTATTTTGAGAGCAAGCAGGGGTACCAGCTAAGAGGAGCATCTCCTGATTTCCTATGGCTGGACAACTGGATCTCACAAAAATTTCAAAATTACTTATATTCTCCAAAATCCAAAGGTTCTGTCTGCACTATATGTGGAAGTTTAATTCATGTTGCATCGAACAGGTGGAAATGTCTTTTTCATTGGAAGTACTAAGACAGAGCCATGTCTTCTGATCGAAAAATGTTCACAGGGAATGTTCTACACATACTGTGTATAGAAAATGCTTAGGTGAGGTCACTCGTGTGGACAATTCTTTGTGCCTTGAAAAGAAATCTGTAATTAATGTATACTATTACTACCAATCCTGTGGAACTGAAGTGAAAAAGATGTACTGTAGGATTCAAACAGTATTTCCTTAGACCTTAGAGACCTTAGATGTTGGTATGCAGTACATACTAATAAACAATGGTTTTCATCTTCAATATATCATTCTTTGCACACAAGACATAATCTATCAACTTAAGTTTCTTTAACACATCTGTCAGTTTCAATTCGTGAAGAACATCTGAATTGAGCAAACGCCGCCCTGAATTTTAAAATTGTGAGTTCTTTGATATACAATCCTAAGGCAAATTATGATTTAAACGAAATATAGATGGAATATATAGTGCTGCTATCGAAGGCTGCATGCCCATCTTGCTCATAAGATAAGTCTGTATACAAACACCGACATAACATTTTAAACACTAACTACACATTGTTCCTCTCAAAGATAGCAAAATCCATGCATGTAGATAATATGTTTGATTTTAGCTGCCCAGTTAGTTTTAACCTAGATACAATCTAGAACTAATAACTTATAACATTTTTTCACAAATCTCGTATCAGGCATATTGCATATTTTACACCAATAAGCAACGGCCCTTTATACATAAAACTATACACTGGATAACATCCACATTCTCCCAAGAATCGTTTACGTGCAAACATTTGTAAAATTTCAACTTCTTTAAAATTATGTAAGCCCCATATTTCCGATCCATAGAGGAGGATAGGGCTAATTTTAGAGTACAAAATATTAAAAAATAGATCAGATGGCAATTGATTAAGTATATGTAAAGATTTAAGTACACTATACAAAATGTGTTTTCACTAAAGTCATGGATAAAGTCACAAATGCCTACATAGTTGAGGTACACTGCTTTGAGCCTAATGATTTATATTTCTCTGTTTGTTTCTTCATCATGGTAATCAAGGGTGACACAACAATGACAGTAGCATGGCTTGTATTTTCTACTGACTTGTATAAATAGGGAGAATTACGAATGTCAGTGATTTTCCACTCCTGGTGGGAGAACAAAATAACACATCTTCACCACTAAAGTACAATGGCCAAATGCTATGTATATTTGCTTTCATCCTCATCAAAGTTCCAATTCATTTTTATCCTGAGATGGAAAACATTTCGAAATCATCCCCTCTCCCCAGTGTAAAGTGAAACAGTAAAAGAAAATACTCAGATTTTGTAAGTCATCAGGTCTCTAGTGTAATCACACATGTTGTTTGTCTGGAGTGAGAGGGCAGGGCAGAAGCAGGCGGCCTTGGCTCAGTGTGGTGTCTTGGGGAGTGGTGGGGGAGGCTCCCATGAGTTAATATTAATCCCCAGTGACAGCTAGATATCAACTGATAATTAAAGCCCTGTGCTGGCTTGTGAATTTAGCAGATTCGTACCGACCTTGAAGCTGTGGAAATCTACACTTGCCACATTTTCTAGACTTGCGCGGGATTTCTTGGATATATTTGCTTCAGGGTCTGTATAACAGACTAAAGAAGACCCTGAAAGATCTTCACCAGCGAAGAGGAATGATGGCACCTTCATCCAGCAACCTACGCTAAGATGCGGCCACAATCAAGATACACAAGCACCCACCCAAAACCAGAATACTTGTATGCTGCAGAGGATATATTTTCAATAAAACCACTCAGTTCCTTTCCCGCCTGTTAGCCCTTCAAGCAAAGATGGAAAGTCCCACATCAGCGAATCCTCCACATTGGATAACCTACTGAAAGAAGCAAATCTCACAGGTACCATGGTCATCGACCTGTTCACCAACATATTGCTGAATATTGCTGAGTGCGGCGTAAAACTAAACTCACTCACTCACTCACTCACTCACTCACATATTGCTACTAGAAGATTGTGCAACAAGCTATAAACCCGAACAGACTACCTAGACACCACACACACTACAGAAAGCATCATCAACATTGAGTCCAGCTGCTTTCACACCTCCTACAATAACTTCAATATGACCTGCACACAAATACATGCACTGTCTACGGGTTCCCCTATATCCACTCATCACTGAGATCAGCCCTCTCCCTCGCCCTCTCACAGCGCCATTAAAACCCCTCTGTTGGAACCTAAAGGCAGAGGACACCTTCACCACTACCACTACCACCACTACCACCACCCCACCCCACCCCACCTCCTCCAATACTGTACACCATCGGGCACAGTGAGATGAGGTATAAAATGACCTACCCTGCACAATCTTCCCTCTCAGGGGCTGGGAAGAGTTGTGTCCGGAGGTTGTGTAAGTGGCGGCACTGTCATCTCTGTCAGGGTCTACAACAACATCCAACACAATGAGCACAACTAACTAGCAGCCAAATAAACACATACCATGGTAACCAAAACCACTGATTAGGTTTTCTGGGAAATTTAGATATGAAGATGTACTGTCAATGAAAGTGATATTTTTCCCATGATGTTCACATAATTACAGAACTGTTACCAAGGTTACAATGTTCTGGCAACACAGAGTGACTGATACAAAGTACATAACTGGCTGTTAAGTTAAGCATTTATTAAAAATAGATGTCGAATGACGACACAGTGAACTTTGTCATGGTGGTAAGGAGCCAGTGGGGAGCCAGTGGAGAGCCAAGGGTACCAGGTTGTGTGGCATCCATTCAGCAGCGCTATGGAACAAAGACGAGTAACTTGATTAGTGAACAGAGCAATGAATAATGATCACAAACTGCAGAGTGTTTTTTCATTGACATAGTTGGCACATGGAACCCATAACAGGCAGTAGCGGCAATAACAGACAATAAATGGAAAGAATGCCATACACTTAACCATTACCAATATTCCGTATTTTAAGAAAAAAATTGTGTTGTACACTTCAGCATTAATTTGCTCACTAACATACATTTTACATCAATACATGAACAACATGTGAAATGTTTAGGTTAGGCAGGTTATTTTATATAATATATATATATATATACCTACAAATTATATGGGCCCTGATAAACACGAGAAAAGTAGACATTTGTCGTTGCTTTGTCGCATCAACTACTTCGGGAATATTAGCCGGAGCAATTAAGCAGTAGACTCCTGAAAAAAAACGAAGCAAACACGAAACTCAAAACAATGAAGCGCTCGTAAAATAACTTGGGCACTCATCATCTGAAAAGTAAGAAATACGTTGTTGGAATCTGAGACCACACATCCGTATATGGTTTCTGTTGGAATTCTTGGGTTACACTGTGAATGGCGCGAATGTTGCTTCAATTATTATACACAGCAGAATACAACAAAGTCCCCTGCCTTCCTGCTTCATCGCCATGAAAAACTTTGGCAGAGAGGCACGAAAACAGGTGACACTGTCTTCCGTGAAAGCGTGACTGCAAACGGCTGTCCGAAACATGACAATGCCATGTACATGCTTCGTCCCTGTTTGAGCGAATGTCAGTGAACTCCGCGCCAGAAATATAAAATGTCGAGTGAAAGACATTGATATACTTACCTCCACACTCATGTCACACTGACCAGGGATGGCGTTGCAGACTGACTACAAGCCCTGGGTTTTGAGATTGGTGTGAATGTCTATATAAACCTGAAGGCTGCTTCTCAATTTATATCAGACATGGCTTGTTTTCCCAGAATTACCGCATTTGAGGTGGTTTTTTTCTTCTTCCCAGTTTTACTTTTTCCTAACCCTATATTAACATCAACATTCAAATTCAGATGATATGCTAGTGTTTGAAATCAATTGAAAAATATCGCCAAAGATCAACTTAAATGTGAAAATATTTTCCATAGCAGGATTGGAACCGTATTCTTCAGAGTCATAAGCGGACGCTCTACCTCACAGCCACCGGACCGTCAAAGAAATAGGGGTTGAATTATCTATTTATAGTTAGGCGTACTGTCATTGAATTGATTTTACTAGCGCTTCAGTTACTGTTATGTAGCTTCATTACATGATCATCTAACTATCCATCATTGACGGTTTATATGTATAATAAAGCACGACTCCGAGGTTATGGTTGGGAAAGTAAGCCCTCGACCATCGGGTGGAGAGAAGTAAGACCTCGAGCGCTACACGCTCTCGGTTTACTTCTCCCCATCCGCCGGTCTCGGGTCTTACTTTCCCAAGCATAACCTCGGAGTCGTGCTTTATCCTACACGGAAAGCACCCTTTCTATAAATAGACATTTGGCAATTCCGTGTTTTTGAAAGAACTAATGGTGCCTACACGTAAACACAGTCGAATTGAGTTTTACCTTGTAGTTGTACTTATTTCGTTGGTTGGTTGGTATTGTAAATACACGTGATAGATGGCGTGGGTCTGCAAGAACAGCTGGCTAGGGATGGAGCGTATTTGAGAGGTGTGAATCGGGATGACTGGAGGTGATAGTACAACCTGACCATATATGAGAGATGAAAGAAGGCCATGCAGTGTCCCCGGAAATTAGGGTTGGGGTTTGCTTGCTTGCTTTTGTAACCTTTGGTAGCTTTGGGTAGCTTTGGAAGCCATTGTAGCCTTTGACTTGCCTTTATTTGGTGTGTGTATGTGCTGGTTGCGAAAGACCAAAGAATATGGTCCCGGCGCAAGATTCCGGCCTCTTGAGAATGGCGACGAATGCGATTGGTCGATGGTGGTGATGATGGTTGTACAACGGGGTGCGAAAGCGCCTTTAAGAAAACCAGAGTTGGCATGGAATTCTACCTCTTCTGGCGCCGGTGTAGATGGTTCCGATCGGGGATGCCGATTTGGTGCTCCGTCCAAGAATTTTGGCCACGACTTCGGGCTATGGAATTTTTCGAGCCTAACATGGTGCAGGAAAGCGCAGTCGCCCGATGGAATCGGTGGTAAACGCGACTGCTTCCGGGTCAGGTTCTGAAATTATGCATGCGACCCTAGAATTATTGTTGTAAATGAGACAATACTATTCCTTCATTCAATTTAAACAATATTTTTCATATTAAGAACTAGCTATGTGTCCAGTTCCAATTGTTTCCTCTGTTCGAGAAGCAAGACACCTGAAGCCCATGCTCTAAACGATGTAAAAACTGTTTGGGGACAGCTGGTTCTCCTATGCTGGAAATGAAGGGAACGCACAATGTAACTGAGCCCCTGGATGAGGTAATGCGTTCTTTTAATCAACCACAATAAAGAACCATTCATAAGAGTTCATTAAACTTTAAATATACGAAGGATATTGACTCAATGTAATTAAGAAGTGCCAAGGTGTGTATTAGTCAAATTAGACAAACTTTTATAATGTGAATCTTGTTTTTTATTTTGTTGTGAATGGGACCTACGTGGAAGTGATAAAAAACAATGACAACCGCAACCGAGTAGGCATGGCATAGGTGTAATGCACTCAGGTAGCAATGCCCAGGACTAGGATAACCTTACAGCAATAATAAGGGTCAAACAGAACTAGTCGAAAGCAAAACTAATCAACCATATACATTGGGACAAAAAAATGGCGTTGTTTCTTATGTACCCAGTAGTTGAAAAGATATGCTGCCGGTTGAAAGAGAACAGCATACGGCGTTCGAATCGCTCGTCGAAATAAATGTGTTTTGAATGTGTGTGTTTTTTTAAACACGTTGCCACTCTGGATTTGCTGGCAGCATTAATGACACAGTCATCGTACGAAAGAACCCTAAGAACCTAACCTAACCTAACCTAACCTAACCTAACCTAACCTAACCTAACCTAACCTAACCTAACCTAACCTAACCTAACCTAACCTAACCTAACCTAACCTAACCTAACCTAACCTAACCCTAACCTAACCCTAACCCTAACCCCCACCCCCTCACCATAACTGAACCTGAACCTAACCTTAACACTCAACTTCCCCCTTTTCCCCTCCCTCCCCCTTTTCGGTTCCCAATTGTGCAGATTGATGCTCATGCTGTTGATCACTAGATTGTCTGGTACACACTCGATTATTTACAGACCAGCGCCATATAGCTGGTATATTGCTGAGTGCGGCGTAAAAACTAAACCCACTCGCTCACTCACTTCACTCACGTGACCCAAGGAGATTGCAATCCGTATCCATCACTCAGTTTGATACAGGTGAGGTGAGGTGAGGTGAGGTGAAATTGGGTTTTACGTCGTGCTTGAGAATATTTCGCTCATATGACGACGTGCATGCGTGTGTATGTGTATGTGTATGTGTATGTGCGGCTGCTTGTACTAGCCCACACTTAAGCCGGTTTTAGAGTGCTAGCCCACTGAGATACCATGCCGCAGTGAAGCATGAATACCCCACTCAGACACATTATACTGACTCCGAACCAACCAGTCCTTGTTGTACCCAGTAATGCCGAGCGCCAGGCTGGGACCAACAAGTACCATATTTTAACGTCTTTTGCTATGACGTGGTCGGGGATCGAACCCGCGACCTTCCGCTCTCCGGGCGGACGCTCTAACCACTACACCACGGAGGCGGTCCAGTTTGATACAGAGTGTTACAGAATGTTACAGAGTGTTACACACAGTCATGACATAGCAGAACTTAAAGGTCACATAAACCCTAGGGGGTACAAATACATAAATCACTAACTGGCATCGTTATAAATGAAACCCCGTCATTAAAACTACTCATTTCGACATTTAATTTACTTAAATCGACCTTTTTGACAACAGTGCACAATTCTCACCCGCGAACGAAATTTCAACCAATCAGAGCGGCGTGCCTCTGTGACGTCATATGAGGAATAGCTTTGAGGGCCGATGCAGAATTCATCTACATTTTAGGGGTTAAATTATCTTGTTTACAGGCTTGTATAAACCTGAAATCGTGACAATTGTTGTGGAAAATAAAAGCTATATGTTCTCACAATCTACTGTCATTTAATTTTGTCTCCTGCTTTGCCTAGTTTCTGAGTTACAACTTGTTTTCATAGACGATTCTGTCAAAATCGATTGGTGTCTTTAGGCCCTATTTGTATAATGACTGATCCATAATCGATCCCATTTCTGTGTTTTTTTACAGGGTTATTTAATCATGTCATGTAAAAATCTGTTTGTATTCTCAAAACAGTGTCGGCCCATAAGTTTTCACATGCAATACAGCAATTAATACTCCCTTGTTGTAAGCCGTGTTAGGTGGTATAAACCTACACATGTTATTTGTCATCATTCACTTGATGGTCAGTTAATGAATTTATAACAGGTATAATTAGTGGTAACACACTTAGATTACCCGACAAAGGTTCCCATTTGGCACTTCTTGTGTCTGGAGTAAATATTCAACATTATAAACATCGATCAAAGGATTAACCGATAACACGTTGATTGGTTAATTACTTTTATCTTACACAGCGGAATTGTCAAAAGGTAGTGTTTATGTATGTAGATTTACTAATCTATACTGAATACACTCTGTCGTGTCGGTGTCTACGTAAAGACAACGTCCTTCTTTCAAAGGATTAACCGGCAATACATTGATTGATTGCCCATTATTGGCTAACTAAATTACTGTCTTTAAAGAAAGGCGGACATTATGCAATTAGTTGCCAGGTGTGCTATCTTGGGTGACCAATGAGACTATACACCAATACCTGAAAAGATTTATCACTTTTTCGTATATTAAACTGTTAAAAGACACATCATTTGGAACAGTTTGGTGGATATTGATGGATACATTCCTCGAACAAGGTAATGGCCTGATATTGTTCCTATAACTTTAATCTGTTTTAATTTTAATATTTGCATTTTGATTTTATTCATTTGTCGTAACATTCAACAGAATCATTGTTTTCGCCGTGAAGTGTAATGAGTCAGACAACATGCACTAGGGTTCGTGTGCGAATTATGATTCACATTGGCAAACTATAAAATGTCTAGCTATTACAGTTCTGTTATAAATTCACTATAAGTATCAGCAGATCGTCTGCTTTTTATTTAGTTTCAAAATGCATACAAGTATGATAATAAACTAATTAGGATTATAAGACCAAATATAAAGACGCACATTGACTGGTATCTACATACTGGTGAGTGGACATTAACCATGGGAATGTAGCAAGAAAATTATCGCGCAGTATTGTGACTTCGACCCCCACCTCGCTTCCGTGGAAGAAATCGTTATGTTATAAGTTGTGTCATGCAAAATCCGTTTGGTTATGATTCCAATACATATTTAACTACGAGTAGAAAGTAGTCTTGATTATCTAACTTGATGAAAACAAACTATAATCTCATTGATTCTAACAGATTTTTTTATTTTTAAAAATGGCGGCGCCCTGTCGGGAACATCCGCCAGTCTGAGGATAAATGGTATTTAGGTTTGTTTTCACCGAGTTACAAAATCAAAACTACTTTCTACTGGCAGTAAAATATGTATTTTATTGATGGCCAATAGGATTTTGCATGACATAGCGTATAACATAACAATTTCTCTCTGGCAGCGAGGTGGGTGTCAATATAATACTACTTACAATATTATTGTTACTTCGACCACAACCTCACTTCCGAGGAAGAAATCGTTATGTTACAAGTTGTGTCATAGAAAATCTTTATGGTCATCAATCATATGCATATTTTACAACAACTAGTAAGTAGTTTTGATACTTCAGTGAAGCAATCTGAACACAAGTAAGATATCGTTTCAGGCTTCCACAACGCTCGTTTCGCACTCACAAACATAACCGATTTAGCACGAACTGCGGGGTCCTGTGGAAATCTGTGCATGGGGACACCATCGCCCGACCCCTGTGCGCACCCCCTTCTCCCACCCCCTCCTTCTGGATCCGCCTATGTATATACCATGAAATCTGCATGAGATACTGGGTTGTTGTTGTTGTTGCGGTTGTTGTTGTTGTTGTTGTTGTTGTTGTTGTTGTTTAACGCTCACGCACAGCAGTATCCCAGCACCTCGACTCGTGTGACATTGTCAAGTAGATCGTTAATACAGCTTCCCGTAGATGTAGACCACAGGGATATATCAAACAGTTACCCGACATGTAAATCTTTTGAAGAAAAGAATATCCCGGTGTCGGGTACCATGACAGTTGTTCTTTCACAACGGCCCTTTGAGACAATGTGTTACTACTACTCTTCAACAAGCGAGACGCTCTATAGCTACAGTCACTAAGCTTCACATGCACCATGTCCGTAGAGATTCAGGGACACAGAGACACAATCTATGCTGGTAGGAAGTTGGCAACAAAATTAATATCGGGTTGACATTGGAGACCTCGGGGATAGTGTGATAGTGGGGCTGGACTGGTTCACAATTGTCCTGTGAAGCCCATTTGTGGTGTACCCCGCCGTGATGTTGCTAGAATATTGCTAAAAGCGGCGTACAACCCAACTCACTCACTCACTCACTCACTCACTCACTCACTCACTCACTCACTCACTCACTCACTCACTCACTCACTCACTCACTCACTCACTCACTCACTCACTCACTCACTCACTCACTCACAATTTTCTACCCGTGGGATCGATGGTATTGCTCCATGACAGGTGGTTGGGTTGCCTCACAAACTGACTGAAGCGCCATATAAATCTGTGGAAAATAGCCGTATATGGCATCTTGAAGCCCTCTCGTTTGGTTAAAGTGACTGAAGCGCCAGGTAAATGTCTGAAAAACTGCCGTTAACGGGACCAAATTGGAGTGTGCTTCAGGTGTTATACCCAGAATGAGGTGTGACAAAGGAATACTTTCCATTGCTCCTTCCGCCCACCGTAATACCCCACCCACACTTGAACAACACAAAAAGTGCATTTTCGCCACACAAGTTTATCAGCCACACAATACCTGCTTGAAACACGTTCTTTCTACATTTCATAAAATTAATGCTGTGTGGGGAAAAACGCTCATATCACATGGGCTTAAACTATTATCATTCTTATTGTTATTGCTATTGTTGTTGTTGTTGTTGTTGTTTTTTGGTTGTGGTGGTTGTTGTTTAACGCCGCACTCAGCAACATCCCGACTATATGGAGGCGGTGTGGACCAGAAAATCCAGTAATCAACTGCTTGGAAAGCTGACTGGCTGTGCGTGTGACCGTTTCTTCACAGTGTTGGACATGATACACACACTGTCATAGCTACTCAAGCCTTCAGTCAGATATATTACAGTGTTGAATGCATTACTGCCTGGGTCCAGTATCCAAGGAATCATGCACTGTTACTGTAACATCACTCGGGTATCTGGACGACGGATACGGCAACACGTTGCACAAATAGACAGACAAACTGACACGAATTCATTAAAATTAAGAAGCCTGTGGATATTTCCCCCTGGTGGTGTTTTTCTTATATATAGGGGGTAAAATATATAGGAAATTTACACAAATTTACGAAAATAGCCTTCACAAAATGACTAAGGTTTTCATGATAGAAACCCAAACCGCAAGACTCACACTCGGACTGTCAAACCTAAGCACACTGCCCACTCGACCACCACACTCTTCATCGTGAAAAGAATATATAGTGCTGCTCTCACGTCACCGATACGACGTGTGCATCGACGTTGATCCTTAGAGTTAGCTGTATTATTGACCAATGCCGACTTTCTCCTCCTCCCCCCCCCCCCCCGATCATTCAAAAAATGATGCATGATTAATCAACTGAAATTGCGATAGGTAGTTTTTCTTGACATTGGCGTGGCGTGGTGTGGCGTTTAAACAAACGTTTTTAAGAGGCATTTACAAGTTGGGACACGAAGGAAGGATAGCAATTTAACAAACGTTTCGGTCTAGGTTCTGACACTTGCTTGTGTTAGAACCTTCACTGAAACGTGGTTCCCACTGTAAAGAAGTTGTTTATCCATATATTGGTCTAGATAACGTGTGGTGAGCAGGTTCGAACCTGGTTGATTGCTTATTTCCTCCTCTGAAAACCTCCAGATGAAGAGAGGCAGAGCTAACTATCTGAAGCCGCCAACAAATACCTGAAAAACAGCCGTTTACGGAAACGTTCGCGTGCGAGATGATTTTTACGGCATTACTTTTACGTGAACTATACTCATCATCTTGTTTATATCAAGGTATAAGATTATTTTTTCTCTGTGGTTTAGTATGTGTATAATGCAATATTTCCAAGAAAGACCCCTCAAATACAGAATTTGAAGTTTTATTAAACATTTCTGACTCATTTTCTTTCTCACTTGGAGAATGTTGCTGCTGATAGTCGCTGCAGAGTGGCACTGGGGCGGGGAATGTGTTGAAAAAACCGGGGATTTTGTGAAGGAACAGCACGTGTGGTTAGCAATATTCCAGTAATATCACGACGGGGAACGCCAGAAATGGCTTTAACCATGTTGACAACCGAACCAGGGCATTCAGCGTGAAGAGCCACCAAGCTACTCCACCCCTCCTACAGGCCAGTGCAACATCATTTGCTTTGTGGATGTTTTGGTACTGTGTCACACATAACTGATCTGATCGCCTGATAGCGCCCAACCCTCACAAATTAGCTGTCTGCTAACATGAGCAATGCAACATGATGTGCTATGCTGCTGTAAAATGTTATCGTACATATATATATTCTTGGATTATTAGGTTTGTTTAATTCAAGCTTTCAGTAATAATTTAATCATGGACTGATTTCATATGAACTTATATATTGTATCACATACAATGAAAAATCGGACACTAGTGCTAAATGCTAGTGTCTCTCCAATTCTCTTTCGACTCTTTTCACCCTTCCTTCCTTCCTTCCTCCCTCCCTCCCTCCCTCAACACGAGAACCGAGAGAATATTTTAGTCATTTTAATTTTTCGAGAACCAAGCTTATGGTCAAGTACGTCTTCTTCTTGACAGCATGGGCGGACAGCAGACGTATGGAAACCTGTGACGTCAGAACGGGCGATGATGACGTCACTACCTCTGTACTTGAATTCACGGGCCTTGTAAGCTGGTTCCCGGCTCCCTTTGCGCGCGCTAACGTTCGACAAAGCTAGGAACCGGTATTGGCTGCCATTTAAAACGCTCTGCTCGTTTATTTGACGTCACATCCGGATTTGTCAATCTGGATACCGTCTCGATGAAAGATCTGGGAATCATAAGACTTGAAAAGTGAACGTTGTGCGAGAATTGCGCTTACGTGGTCCTGGATCTGCGTATGGCTATAAAATTACATAGAAATGTAGAATATTAAATTTCCTCTCCGTTGGTATTAAATATCATTGCACCTACCTCAGCGGTTTGAGAAATAGACACTGTTAAATGTTGTCCAAATCTTTGTTATGCGTTAAAAAGCAGTAAATATCTCCGCTTTTGATTGTGTAATGATGAAAGCACTGTGCTGCGAATTTTTTAATTTGGCATCGTTACGGAAAGTGTGAGCGAAGAAAATACAGCCTGATATCTGAACGACATAAGTATATATAAAATGTGTGTGTGTGCTTATGCATAAGGTTATACGCTCAATCTTAAAAATGACTCGCAATAAATGTCGAAAAAGGATTTTGTTCTATGACGTCAAACGACGACAGAGAGGCCATACGCGTATAAAGATGAGGGGCCATTACTCCCACATGCTGAACACTAGGTCAATGTAACTCAGATCACTTGGAGAGAATTTGTTGTGGATATGGACGCTATATTTTCGATTTGGTTTCTTCACCATGAACCAAACTATACTAGTACAAAGTTCCACAATGTGAGCGGATATGGTTTGATAGTTGCACAATTCATAAGAAAAGATGACAAAGTACTACATGAGAAAGCACGTAATAGCGATTTGGATGGCCCTATCTGATATATAATTTAGTTCTTAGATTCCCATATTCTCCTGTTAGTGTAGATGTATTTTGACTAATTTTGCATCATTATTAATAGAGAACTAGCCATATCTTCAAATGTAATGAAATTACTGAAAATAATACCACTGGATGCGGAAGTATTTTGTGACGCAGTTTCATAGGATCTGAAAAGTGAACGTTGCATTGGATCTACGGTTTTCCGACGATAACATTACGTTCAGATGTAGAATACATTTAGATCTGCTGGCACCTGTCTAAAGGTACGAGGTTTTGTATACAAAACCAACATTGTCAATTTCCTATTAAAAGTATGTTCAAACCAACTAATTAGCAAACGTTCATAAATCTATAAACTTCACAGTGTAAAGATCTGAATTGTGATGATTTGTTTACATTTTAAACAAGTAGAGTTTGCTCCGCCTTCGTTTTCACACCTTATCTATATTGCTCAATTTCATACAACCACTTTGTATTCATGACAAGACCGTATCGCTTAAAAAGCCTTCCCATGTTGATTTAATATTTGGTGAAAATTGATGAAGAAAGAGTTTGCCGCGGTGTTGATGCATCGCATCAAAAGTTTTCTTGCTGCTGTACTAAAGTGTCTTCAGGACACATTCAGCATTTTCTAAGTGAATAATTCAATACTTATAATCGCCACAAAATATTATAAGTTCATTTTCCGCCTTACTACTGATTTTGTGCCAGTGTTGGCACACCTACCCACTCTAAAACATGTATACCTTTCTAACGTCATCCGCGAGGAAAGTTTGGAATATTTGCAATACGAGATTTAATTTGTATGCGTGGCTCGACCGATGTCCACATGTATAAATTACCTGCATATTTGTGTCGTTCATACATCAGAGATGTTGTTATTCGCTCACAGTTTTCTGACAAGCTTATAATAAAAATCTTTGTCGCATAGGGAAATTAGGGTGTGCATTGAAAAAGCGACGGTCCTATCACGCAAATAAAACGAATATATACGTTTACTATTATTTTTCGTGAATATTGATATCAACTATGTACAAAAACAGAAAGTAAGAATTTTGAAAAAATAGTTTCCAGAAAATAAGAACAATATATATTTTCAAAGGTATTTCAAGCGCCTGCATGACCGATTTTTGAAAACGATACAAAATGTGTTTTGGACGTCTTCCGATGAAGGGCGGCCGTCCTAAAATAGCAACCAATGGAAAATGACATAACATTGTCAATATTGGCTTTTCGTAGGCCTTCTCAGCCATCGTCTCTTTGGCCTGTACCGGCTCGTATATAGAGAATACTACACGAGGTCTCATTACATACGAATTAGACGAAACGAGTGTCCTTCCTATGGTATCTGACCGAGCGAAAGCGAGGTCAGATAACATGGGAAGGTCACGAGTTTCGTATAATTCGTATTAGTATGCAACTACCCATACGTTGACCACGTGGGTAATAAATTGCGATATGCGAGACGGGGCCCAGCTTACGGGCCTTGGTGCTGAGACGGCAAACAGTGGCAATTTCAGTTAACCTGTGCAGAATCCTTGTCAACTTTTTAAGACGTTCGTCTGTCTCTTAAAATATTAACCATTCCTCCCGCACTTGGTAATTCAAAAGTACTCTGTGGCTGGGTATTTTTGTATAAACATTATATTCATTCAGTGGAGACCAGAGTAAGAAATGAATCTGCAAAAAGATTCATAACATAATTGTTGTCTTGTAAACTGGTGCCGACAAAAGCAACTATTACATTTATTCAAAATCTTTTCTATTTCAAAATGCATTCGAGTGCATAGCACCAGTACAAGTCAATGTGAAGTTGCTTAAATTGATTCACAGAGTATATACCGCTATAACAGGTAGAGCGGTGTCGGGCATTACCGCACAGCTGCGCCATATCTCGTCTAATTCCTGTTTTGTTTCACAGATGAAGCTATAAGTAGAATCTAATACTAACAAACAAACAACCATTCACTGGGAATCATATTCACGCACAGAAACACACGCAAAAATACGTTTTAAGATTCTTCTTACAAGAATAAATGATAAATATATTTTATTAGTAACTTTTAAATTACGGACGATTGTTCCATCGACTTCTCGTCATTTGTTTGAAGACAGAATATGTCAACTTTTCGAAAGATAAAAATATACTTTGGTGCCAAATTATTAATATTGTCAGTATCATTTATCGATTGTGGGTAAGGCCATCGTTTTTACGATTCGCTGATTTGGGTGTAAAAGATTTGCAACACTTTCCTATTGCAGCCCATGTTCTGTACAAATTGCAGATCGGCAGTACTTACTAAGGGGTGGATAACTGGCATGTATATTCCTTTAGGGGGCGAGGGGGTTATTAATGATGGAATTACTTATTTCACATGGTCAGTGGTGATAATAACTGAACTGTTAAAAACTAACAAACATTAGGCCTTTTTAGGCACTTTGAGTATTTTTTGTAACCGTAATTTGTGTAATTAAAAAACATTATGGTATCTGATACATGACGTGCTAGGTACGACGGCCAACAGTGCACATGGGATGGAAAGCATCCTCATCATAGTCGTGCGATTAATTGCCTTTGACCTCGAGATGAGTTCACGGTGGGACGATTCAAACGTTAATGGAAAAGGAAGCAGCCTTAGTATTGGAGATGTTGTATCTATTTTACACTAATTAGTAAAGGAGTATGACTATATTGGACAATGTGACGTATTCCTTGATGAAATAATGACCGTGTTTTAGAGCTTACAATGTTGACGATTCATGTTCATTGGATGCATTTCTTGCACGACGGGAAAAAGTGTGCTCCCTTCTTTGCACGTGCGGGAAAAGTGCGCTCCCTTCACTTGGGAGTATGTGTGAGAGGAGAGAGATGCATAAGAGATGTGAGAGAGAGCATAAGAGAGTGTGAGACATGAGGAGAGATGAGGAGATGAGGAGACAGACAGGGAATGTGAGGAGAATGTGTGAGGAGAGTATGGAGGAGTGAGCAAGAGAGAGAGCATAAGAGGTGTGAGAGAGTCCATAACAGAGAGAGTGAGAGAGTGAGCATAAGAGAGCAATCAGGAGAAAGAGAGAGAGTGAGTATGAGGGAGAGACAGATGAGAGAGAGAGTGTGAGAGAGAGCATACATAGAGATAACATCAGAGAAAGAGAGAGATGAGTGGTGAGAGAGAGAGGAGGAGTGAGCAGAGAGAGCACAAGAGAGTGAGAGGAGGACAAGAGGAGAGAGAGCAATCAGAGAGAGAAGAGAGAGAATCAGAGAGAGCATCAGAGAGAGAAAGAAGACGAGAGACGAGAGAGGAGATGCGTGAGATGAGCATGAGAGAGAGAGGTGAGAGAGAGAGAGAGAGAGAGAGAGAGAGAGAGAGAGAGAGGGAGGGAGAGAGGGAAAAAACGCTACCAGGGATCTTTAATCTAACAATAAAATTGCTCCGAAATACGATAGTACCGACACAAACTGACCAAAGGTAGATAAACGTGCAACTGAATATCATTGTTCTTAAAAACATCCACTTAAGACTTTCTCCAACATCAAAATGCTTGTGGAGTTTTCCTTTTTGATTCCAATACGATCTTTGCCTACCTGTTCATTTGAATGAGGTTAATAGTTACCTGTTTCAAGTATTTTCTTCTGTGTTTTTGTCATAATCGGAACCTGTAGACGTTCAGTAGACACAACACTGAGACTGAGGCCGTGATAAATTGTGAATCCGGCGTCATTACTGCTGGAAGCCTGAAGCTCCTATATGGACTAAAATGCCGACGCGGCTGTAGATACACACCATGTACACCGTCCTCATATGCGTGTCACCGCCACCCATGGCCCAGAAAATATCAAGAATGACAACGGTTTTTACCAACAAAGGGTAAAAAAGGATGCTTTAGCAATAACAGCAACAGATGTTTTTCCGAACGGATACATCGTTATCTGTACAATATTTTTGTTCTGGCCACAAAGACGACATAATTCAACATCAAAATCCGTAAACCAGAAGAATTAAATTATGTCAAAATATTGACAGTAGAAATATTGAGGATGTAATTACAAAGCTTCACAAAGTACAAAAGCGGCGCCGGACAGTACTTAGAATTGAATGTCAGTTTATTGTTTTGCACTGAAAAATGAACGATGTCAAAGCGGTGTCTTCAAACTCGTGTGAACGAGCGAGGAGCTTTACGAGCGAGTTCACGCGCGAGTTTGAACAACGTCTTGACATCGTTCACCTTCACTTCAAACACACAAACTGACATTCAATTCTGCACTAATTTCACCAATTTGAAGTATACACATACGTTTTCCACCCACTGTGTGGATGATCATTTGTTTTGAAGTGTGTTTTAATACCATAGCCAAAATGTTGTAATGCCATTCGGTTCCAGAACGTACGTATTGCAGCGATGTTTGTATACACAGCGATTTTTCTTTTACACATGTATCCCAACCCTTGAAGAAATAGTTCTCCAGAAGTATTCGATCTTTAAAATATAACAACAAATTCGTTATGAGGGTTTGAAACTGCTTTTAATAAGTATAATCAATAACAGTATCAAACAGAAACAAATATCAGGAAGCAATAACAATACCATTTTAATAAACTGGCATTGTACCTTTCACTTGTAAATACCTTGTTTGACCGCGTAATAATACACTGACCGACTTCGAAGTTGTGCGGCGTGGCGAATAGGAAACAGAAGATCTTGTTGTATTCTATTTATTTGTGATTGTTTATTGTGAAATTTATTGAGCAGTTGTTAAAACAGACCTCGGGGCAGAAAACCGCCGGATGAACCTGCAAACTGCGAGACATTTAAACTCCTGTGAAAAGGAACAATGTTCGGCAATCCGGTTTGGTAGTGACATTGCCAAACTTGGGGTGACTTGAAACAGGTTCGTTCGCGAAATTGGTATCACCAATTATTGGGGTCCTTGAAACCGAAGCGAAAAACGTTCACACACGTAAGGAACGGTGTTTACACAAGTATGAACGATTAGAGGGGTTCAAGAGTAATGAACCTTGAAATTTAGATCACATGACCGCTCTCTCAACCAACCAACGTTCGGGAATCTGTGTAAACTTGAAAGCACGACATTACTCAAGGATAAACGTCTTTCTTGATACAGCTGACACGCTGCAAGGTGATACAGCTGACACGTCGTCGAGGCGTGACGTCATAGCTGGCGTTGTGACGTCATATAGCTGGCGGTGATGACGACATAGCCTCTATACTCTAAACTCACCACTGTATATTTGTACCCAGTTGTTATGGCAAGGTACTGACATGCCCCTGAAGGTCTGCGTAACTGAAAACGAAAATGTGGGTGAAATGTTATAATTTCAGACACTAATATACTCAACACTGCCAACCGCCATTCACCAATTCAGTTGTGCTCACACCCGAACAGAAATACTACTGAATGATAGTTTGAGCTGAAGGAGTCGTTGTGGGTACAAGTACCCCAGATATATACCCCAGATATTATACTAGCCGAAGTCCGAAGTCAGAACACAGAACAGTGCCGGGTACGCTACCCTAAACGGCGGTGGAGTCCATAATATTTAACCCTTGTAGTTCCGATTCGCCTGATTCCGAGTGCATATGCTGCGCATGGCGGCAAATAAAAGTATTGTACGTACTACACTTTGTATTTTTTGCATGGTGTCAGTATGTTAGAACAGTTCCGATTTGGAAACTGAAGAAACATTCTATGTTCTCCAAAGGTCACCTCCAGGACCACAAGAGATAGCATGGCATGTTGAGCTCATCTTCAATGGCCCACAGGTGGCAAGGCACTGCACCTTAGCGGATAGAACTTGTAACCATAATCCTATAAGCTGGTCTATAGGCTACCTGTGAAGATCCGAGTTTCAATTGTTTTCGACCGCGTCCGTGGTGTAGTGGTTAGAGCGTCCGCCCAGAGAGCGGAAGGTCGCGGGTTCGATCCCCGACCGCGTCATACCAACAGACGTTAAAATATATGGTGCTTGTTGGTCCCTCGCCTGGCGCTCGGCATAATGGGTACAACAAGGACTGGTCGGCTCGGAGTCAGTATAATGTGTCTGAGTGGGGTATTCATGCTTCACTGCGGCATGGTATCTCAGTGGGCTAGCACTATAAGACCAGCTTAAGTCTGGGCTAGTACAAAAGCAGCCGCATATACACATACACACGCATGCACGTCGTCATATGAGCGAAATATTCTCAAGCACGACGTTAAACTCGATTTCACCTCACCTTCAATTGTTTTTCAGCAAACAAGTCGTAACAGACGACTAACGGATGGTGTGGTCAGGCTCGCTGACATGGTTGATGCAGGCCATTCATGTTATCCCAATTGCTCAACATGTCAACAATTAACTGGACTGCCACAGACCAGTCATATAGAATATTGCTGTATGTGGTCTTACAAAGCAAACACAGAATATCACACAGTCCTCCACAATGAACAAAATCTTGTACAGAGTTAAGAATGTATTTTATTCTTTTCATCTTTAAATACACACACGGATGCGGCTGTTCACTCAAGTCTGACGAATCGAGAAGCATTACCCGAGCTCTGGCAATATTTTCTCTTTCGTCAGCATCCCTCTCTGAAAACAAACAAAGTCCAATGATAACAAATGTATGTAATCTGGCTGTTACATAATGTTAAAACTGTAGGCTACAGCAAACCTCTATTTCGAACATCTGAATTGTTTATTTCTTTCTGGTAAAGATAGGTGTTAGATTTGCTAAAGATATACTCTCATATCCAGAACTGGATTTCGCCGTAAATAACGTTTCCTGTTTGCGAAAATAAATATGTAACAGCGTTGCATAACTTTATGGAACATTGTTACAACAAACAAGCTGGTGCACCGCGAGCAAGCCGCCAGCTACACGTATTGACCTCTGTCGACTTGCCGACTGTACATGGCCACCGATGGACCGATGACGTGGTGTGATGTGGACATATTTGAGATGGTCACAGTAATAATTAATAAACGTATCCGGAAATCTGCAAGATGGAAGGATTGTAAGAAGGTTGAAAGTCTTAGTCTGTTTCTTGGAAAGTGTATTGTGTCATTTGTAGGGTGTTTGTGTCATGCAGTATTACTTGCAAAGCAAATTTTAAACACATATATCATGGTAATTGTCATCGTATATAACACGTGGTATGGATTGTCTGGTCTACAACTGAATACTATCATTTACACTGACAGACTTCTTTATGTTAACCGTTGTTGAATCGGAGACAACAAATACGCAAGCAAACTATCACTTTGAAATATTGATACAACCAATGAATGAATTGATCGATTAAATTTGTTGTTGACTGGATGTAATTATTAAAATTTGAAACGCCAATCAATTTATCTTAGACACAGCCGGGGAGAGACATATGGCGACGGTCACATGACCTCGTAAATAATAATTGATGTGTGCGTAGTTCAATTAACTATGTGTTGTTGATGCATTCAGGGTATCTTTCTGGGAAATAAGGACACATGAATATAATAATTAGAGGAATACTTTGAGAATTGATTTGGGTATGGAAAAGGGCCGTACATGACTGTTTCAGCCAAAATCCGTTCGCAGCTGATGTTTGTAAACAAGTCACTGGATAGCCTTGTGTCAACAACTGGGTGCAAGTACATTAGCTGGTTCCCGGCTCCCTTTGCGATATGCGAGACGGGGCCCAGATTAGCAAGTACACAGCCCAAGGTAAGGACACAGCCATGACGTCAGTATCGCCAGATATGACGTCACGCCGCCAAGGTCGCAGGTCTGACAGACGTCCAGCTGTTCCCAGCCGATGTTTGTAAACAAGACCCTTTTCTTGTGTGAGCAGCAACTGGGTGCCGAGACCGGGGACAGTGTGTTGACGTCATCATCGCCAGATATGACGTCACGCCGCGAACACAACAGTTCTGGCGGCAGTTGTTCAGCTGAGAGATTGTTTTCATCTCGGAGAGAGATAACAGTTGGCGTGTGTGTCATGTCTAACTACTTGGTCTCTGTAAATTATTGTTCCTAAATTAACATCCATGAAACTTACACTCGGAGTAACACAAGAGCAACTAACCGTGAAGAAAAAAGGTGTAAAATTAAAAGATAATAACTGCAGTCAAATCCCGATGAGTCGAATGCCGATGTCTCGAATATTATGCATAACTCGAAGTAACTGTCTGTCCCGACCATTCCCTGTTATAGTTTGTCATCATTTGAATACCGGTTACACGAATTCGTCTCATTAATACAATACGATGACCTCGATCGATAAGGCAATTTGGTCCCATGAGATTCAAACAATAGCAATCTTGTATACATAAGCCGAGGTCAGTCAATGAAAAGTTGATTGGTGTAGCAAACTGATCTAATTAACAAACCAGCGCGGGTCACACCTTTTACCATTGACGGGTCACCGTGAGTTCAAAAGGCAGATTAGTGGATTTTACGGAAATCACTGTCTGTGCTAATCAGACTGGAACTGATAAGGTGCCCCTATTAGCATGATTAGTGATATGGAAATCATTAGATAAACAAATGCTTAGGCGGAGGAATTAGGACTGGATCATCTTTTTTCTACCCTCATAGACATACCTATGTCTCGAATACATCGATAAGTCGAATTTATTACTTGGTCCCCAGCGATCTGACTCATCGGGATTTGACTGTATATGCAACCATTTTACCCTTAAAATATACTCTTGTCTGTTGGCAATTCCGTTTGTGGTGTAGTTCATTTTACTATCTATTCAATAAAATGAAATAAAGGAAAATACAAGTACGCATGCACACAACGAGGTCATCATAGAAGGCATATTTAGAGTTTTTCCTGACATCTTCTTTCATATGGTAAAAAATATTTACAATTTTACAATCTAAGCTGTGTATTAATTTTACTTGATGTGTCAAATTATAAGCTGTGTTTGACAATTAAAGAACCTAGTGTTTCTTGGAAACGTGTTTGCTTGTATTGGGTATACTATTACTTGCACAGCTGACTGTTTGACAGATCTAAATACTCGGATGCTCACAAGCAGCTTGTTTTAAGGTTGTCTTCTTGTAAGAATTACTGTAGTGATCTTACCTACTTTCTAACTGCTTCAGGCAGGCAAATTCTTGACACTCAACCTTTTCATTATGTATTTCATTGTTGTTTGGAGTCAGAACATACACACGTTACGAGCTGTACAGTATGTACGGGTCATGTAGACTGTAAGTACCGGATGTACAGACTGTCAGTACCAGATGTACAGACTGTCAGTACCGGATGTACAGGCTGTCAGTACCAGATGTACAGACAGTCAGTATCAGAGGTACAGACTGTCAGTAGATGAGTCAGTACCAGATGTACAGACTGTCAGTATCAGATGTACAGGCTGTCAGTACCGGATGTACAGGCTGTCAGTACCGGATGTACAGACTGTCAGTACCGGATGTACAGGCTGTCAGTACCGGATGTACAGGCTGTCAGTACCAGATGTACAGGCTGTCAGTACCGGATGTACAGACTGTCAGTACCAGATGTACAGGCTGTCAGTACCAGATGTACAGACTGTCAGTACCGGATGTACAGGCTGTCAGTACCGGACCGGATGTACAGGCTGTCAGTACCAGATGTACAGACTGTCAGTACCAGATGTACAGACTGTCAGTACCATGATGTACAGACTGTCAGTACCGGATGTACAGGCTGTCAGTACCAGATGTACAGGCTGTCAGTACCAGATGTACAGGCTGGCTGTACAGGCTGTCAGTACCGGATGTACAGGCTGTCAGGCTGTACCACGGATGTACAGGCTGTCAGTACAGGATGTACAGGCTGTCAGTACTGGATGTACAGGCTGTCAGTACCGGATGTACAGACTGTCAGTACCGGATGTACAGGCTGTCAGTACCGGATGTACAGACTGTCAGTACCGGATGTACAGGCTGTCAGTACCGGATGTACAGGCTGTCAGTACCGGATGTACAGGCTGTCAGTACCGGATGTACAGGCTGTCAGTACCGGATGTACAGGCTGTCAGTACCGGATGTACAGGCTGTCAGTACCGGATGTACAGGCTGTCAGTACCGGATGTACAGGCTGTCAGTACTGGATGTACAGGCTGTAGGTACTGGATGTACAGGCTGTCAGTACCGGATGTACAGGCTGTCAGTACCGGATGTACAGGCTGTCAGTACCAGATGTACAGGCTGTCAGTACCGGATGTACAGGCTGTCAGTACCGGATGTACAGGCTGTCAGTTCAAACATGGTCTCTGCCATAGCCTCTGACATAATCTCAGCTTTATAGATACAGTAGGGCTTTGAGGTTCCAGGAGCTGATGCTTTTTGCTGTAATGTCAATAAAATACAGCCCACTCATTCAGTGACATGTTTTCAATGAGTGGTGTGATTCCACCTAGGAGGGTGGTAATCTTGAGTTCACTGTCATCACAATCCTCGAATTGTATATAACTTTCAATGGTCATATTGTCAAACAAACGTTCACTAAGTGCATTACGCTTAGAGAATAAACTGCAGCAGTATAAGAGCTGGTGTTTGACCATATCATCACACTCGGTGTCACAGAGTAGGCACATCCCACCTACAACAGGTAATACACCAAGTTTAACTAGACTGTACATAGGTCTGGTTGAGATTGGGTACAGTTCACATTCCCACAGTCTATGTGGGCTAGAGCACTGTGAATGTTGGCATAACGGCTCATTTCTGGTGTCTGAGGAGTGTAATTTGCCAGTTATAATATTCTGCCTCGTCTACTTTTCTATTTATAGTTCTACTCCATTCCAGTTTCTTGCACGGAAAGTTACCAGTCTTCATAAATTCACCTACATGCAACCAGAGATCGTACTTTTAGAACAATTTTCAGAAGATCATGGGTTAACCAGACATCACACGTGTTATCAGTAATAAACTGTCCTATTCTATACAGGAGTACCTCTTTGTGGGGTGCTTCCAGTATCAAGCGCCGACATAGCCTGCCTAACAGCATGAGTTTGAGTCTGTCGATGGTTCCATGCATTGACCAGAGACCCAAGCTTTGAACAGTTGCTGAAGTTGATGACCGTTTATGGAAGTTTTGAGCAATTACGAGCAAATAACCGCTGAACTCGCTTCCATGATGCTATATTCTGTTTCCGTGATGTTTGTCCATAATTCACAGGCATAGAATGCACAAGGAAGTATAACTCTACGCCAAATCTTGACACATCCTATGGGACTTATAAAACCAGCCTTGCCGACGTCCTTTGAGGGAATATAGCAGTTTTTGTACAGGAACGTTCTTGTCTGTTCGGCTTGTTGTTTATTACTTATAAGAGGATCCAGCATATATGGTGTTACTCTACCGTCGGAAGAACACTTTCACCAAGTCTAAACACAAGGTTTTGTCAACCGAATGACCGCCTTTGAATATAATCACGCAGCTTTTATCTGCATTGTAATGAAGGGGCCATTTAATAGCCGCATTTGATTGCAAAGTGGTCAGCATGGCCTGTAGTCCGCTTTGGCTGAGGACTGGTAATGTTGTGTCGTCTGCTAGTAGAATGCTTGGGATATGTTCATCTCCAATGATTTAGGCCTTTGAAATATGTACAGGCTGTAGGTACCGGATGCGGCAGACAGGCTGTCAGTACCAGATGTACAGACTGTCAGTACCGGATGTACAGACTGTAAGTACTCGGATGTACAGGCTGTCAGTACCAGATATACAGGCTGTCAGGTACTTGATATACAGGCTGTAGGTACCGGATGTACAGGCTGTAGGTACACGGATGTACAGGCTGTAGGTACTGGATATACAGGCTGTCAGTACCGGATGTACAGGCCAGATCGCCCCTGCCCACATTTAACACGGAAGTAGCATTTGTCAGCACCGAAGTACAAATTGTCAACACCGAAGTAGAATTTGACAGTACCTGAAGTGAAATTTGTCAATACCGAAAAACAATGTTTCAGCACCGGATGTAGAATTTGTCAGTACCGGAAGTAGACTTTGTCAGTACCGGAAGTGGAATTTGTCAGTACCGGAAGTACATTTTCAGAACCGGAAGTACCATTTTTCAGCACCGGAAGTAGAATTTGTCAGTACCGGAAGTAGAATTTGTCAGTACCGGAAGTAGAATCTGTCAGCACCGGAAGTGGAATTTGTCAGTACCGGAAGTACAATTTTTCAGCACCGGAAGTAGAATTTGTCAGCACCGGAAGTGCATTTTCAGAACCGGAAGTGGAATTTGTCAGCACCGGAAGTAGAATTCGTCAGTATCGGAAGTAGAATCTGTCAGTACCGGAAGTAGAATTTGTCAGTACCGGAAGTGCATTTTCAGAACCGGAAGTGGAATTTGTCAGCACCGGAAGTAGAATTTGTCAGCACCGGAAGTAGAATCTGTCAGCACCGGAAGTAGAATTTGTCAGCACCGGAAGTAGAATTTGTCAGCACCGGAAGTAGAATTTGTCAGCACCGGAAGTAGAATTTGTCAGTACCGGAAGTGAATTTTCAGTACCGGAAGTAGAATCTGTCAGCACCGGAAGTAGAATTTGTCAGCACCGGAAGTAGAATTTGTCAGCACCGGAAGTAGAATTTGTCAGTACCGGAAGTAGAATTTGTCAGCACCGGAAGTAGAATCTGTCAGCACCGGAAGTGGAATTTGTCAGTACCGGAAGTAGAATTTTCAGCACCGGAAGTAGAATTTGTCAGTACCGGAAGTAGAATTTGTCAGTACCGGAAGTGCATTTTCAGCACCGGAAGTAGAATTTATCAGTACCGGAAGTAGAATTTGTCAGTACCGGAAGTAGAATCTGTCAGTACCGGAAGTAGAATTTGTCAGTACCGGAAGTGAATTTTCAGCACCGGAAGTAGAATTTGTCAGCACCGGAAGTAGAATTTGTCAGCACCGGAAGTAGAATCTGTCAGCACCGGAAGTAGAATTTGTCAGCACCGGAAGTAGAATTTGTCAGCACCGGAAGTAGAATTTGTCAGTACCGGAAGTAGAATCTGTCAGCACCGGAAGTAGAATTTGTCAGTACCGGAAGTAGAATTTTCAGCACCGGAAGTAGAATTTTCAGCACCGGAAGTAGAATTTGTCAGCACCGGAAGTAGAATTTGTCAGCACCGGAAGTAGAATCTGTCAGCACCGGAAGTAGAATTTGTCAGTACCGAAGTGGAACCTGTCAGTACCGGAAATGCATTTTCAGAACCGGAAGTGGAATTTGTCAGCACCGGAAGTAGAATTTGTCAGCACCGGAAGTAGAATTTGTCAGTACCGGAAGTAGAATTTGTCAGCACCGGAAGTAGAATTTTCAGCACCGGAAGTAGAATTTGTCAGTACCGGAAGTAGAATCTGTCAGCACCGGAAGTGGAATTTGTCAGCACCGGAAGTGCATTTTCAGAACCGGAAGTAGAATTTGTCAGTACCGGAAGTAGAATTTGTCAGTACCGGAAGTAGAATCTGTCAGTACCGGAAGTAAAATTTGTCAGTACCGGAAGTGCATTTTCAGAACCGGAAGTGGAATTTGTCAGCACCGGAAGTAGAATCTGTCAGCACCGGAAGTAGAATTTGTCAGTACCGGAAGTAGAATTTGTCAGCACCGGAAGTAGAATTTTCAGCACCGGAAGTAGAATTTGTCAGCACCGGAAGTAGAATTTGTCAGTACCGGAAGTAGAATTTGTCAGTACCGGAAGTTGAATTTGTTCAGTACCGGTAGTACATTTTCAGAACCGGAAGAAGAATTTGTCAGCACCGGAAGTAGAATTTGTTAGTACCGGAAGTGGAATTTGTCAGTACCGGAAGTACAATTTGTCAGCACCGGAAGTTGAATTT